TTCAAAGACCATTGAAGGGCTGGAGCAAGAAGTCCGTGATTGGAGGAATCGCTATGCTCGCACCAAGACACAGCTGCGCAATTTCAGGGCCTCGTCCCTCGGCCTCACCATCGACCAGGACGCTGGAAAATATGTTCGCGAGAAGGGCTTTACCGAAGAGAACGGACTCGTCAAGGATGTTCATGTGACAAAGTTCCAGATCTCAATCGACGAGCTCCTTCAGCGAGCACGAGCTGACGACCCGGAGAAGATCATTGATGCCATGAAGCATGTTGTTGTTAGCGTCAGGCGCATCACGAAGGACATGGCGGAATCTCCTCCCCACGACGAGACGGTTGCGCAGGAGCAGGCTAAGTTGAAAGGCAAGGTCTCGTCCACTGCAAACGCGATGATCACGGCGTCGAAGAACTTTGCAGCTTCCGCCGGTATCTCACCCGTATCTCTACTCGATGCCGCAGCTTCCCATCTAGTCGCCGCAGTCGTTGACCTTCTGCGGACCGTCAAGATCCGAGCTACCCCTGCCGGCGAGCTCGAGGATGATGACGACGGCACCATCACGCCTGTTGATTCGACTGGATTTTTCTCTCCCCGCACCAATTCGATCCAGCAACCCATCTCTGCTCAAGATCTTCCGCCGCCGCCTCCTTTCCAAGGCTTAGGTGCGAACCGTGCTAGCGTCGACTCATCTGCCTACAGCCCTGTCAGCTCTCCCCGCCAGTCTGCTGATCCGTATGGCCGCCGGCCCGTTTCTCGTGGAGCCAATGGCATGGGCAACGGCACGGGCAACGGCATGGGCTATATGGGAATGAACAAGGCACAACCACCAGCGCCAGCCAACAACTACGGTGGCCAGTCTGATAGCCGCTACGAGGATCTGAAAATCTACCTGGAGGACCAGACAGCTATTCTTGTCCAGAACATTCAGAACTTGGTCGGGTCTATTCGAAGCGACGCCACCATCTCCCAAATATCGTCGGAAATCGATGGCATCACCAATGTAGTGAGCAAGGTCGTCGCCGAGACCGAGAGCACGGGCAACGGCAACTTGACGGCTCGTTTGGCGACATGCCGTGACCGCCTCCTAGAGGCCAATGACCGGGGTATCGACCTATCTTCGTCAGGACCAACGAACGGGACTGGCGGATGTGGACGCAGACTTTGCCGCCCATCGCCTTCGAGATTGCGCGGGAGACCAAGGAGCTTGTGCAGCGGGTTGACCGACTCGTTATGAACGACGGGGCTGATGACGATTTTGCTTGAGAAGCCGTTGTCGTCCGCCGCAATAATGGCTCTCAGCCAAGCTTCTCACGCCACATTAACTTGGCACACGCTTGATATCAAATCAAAGCAGCTTTTAAATCATGGGTTTCCTCGCCGAAGCTCAGTACTGCTTGTAAGCTCCTTGCCGCCGTAGCGGAATTTAGGATTATATACTCAGGGGGCTAAAGCCACCCCTAAGCATGGCCGCACTTGGCCCAGCCGAGTGGGCTTTCGATTCTGAGGCTCTACGTCCGCGGGGTTACACTTTTTTATATGCTTTCCATGCAGAAAGCCAGCGTTGATTTCCCATGTCGCTCGCTTCGCATCACAGGCGCAGGTACGAGCGCAGAAAGGACATTCGTTTTACGGTGGAAGGGCGGGGATGACTGGAGATGATATCCAGGGGCCAGGGACTTTGGACATGTACGCATTATGCGTGACGAGCAACTCCGGGCATGATGGAGGATGATGGAGGGAGGAAGTGCATGGCAATGGGTGGAGCTGTCTAATGTTAGTGAAGCCCCGTGAGGCATGAGCCCGGGTGTGAATGGAAGTACTGATAGATGACTACCTTGGTTGATTGGTCGTGATTTCTTGTTGGTGCAGGATCCTCTGATGACTTGTTCATACTTTACATGGCCACGGGACGAAGGCTACATCACTTCTGACATTCATCTCGTCAAGACAGAGGGTGGCTATGAGAGAGAGACCCTACCATGCGTAACTGGCCACCCTGGCTGAGACGGCGATGTGTGACTGGTGGCGGCTTTGAAGATGATGGCCCTAAACACCATTACCATGGAGGGCACGAGTGCAGACGGCACATGGTACATACGTTCACATATCAACCAACCCCGTATGGTGAGGCTTGACGCTATTGACTCGAGCTAGGGAAGCCGCCGCGGACTGGGCTTCAGTCCTAATGATAAAAGCCGCTCAGCTGGACACAGCAATGTAAGGTGCCTGAAGGTGTCTGCGTGAGTGTGTTGCACCGACGGTGTCTGGGGCAGCCGTCCGCTCGGTCGTGACCGAGACCTCTCTAGGTTGCACTTTCAGCATGCTCAACCTCGCATGGTGTTATCTTGTTCACTCTTCTTTGATACCTCTTTTCCTGTATATCCTGTATACTGTGGCACTTGCGCATCTCGGACGATACACGCCAGATATAGGCTCCAAATCCCAGTGCCTTGAGAATGGCCTTCAACAAGGATGACGCCTGGAGCACAAAGTGAAAGACGAGGGGAAGGAGAGGGGGGAGGGTGTAACCATGTATGCAGCGCCAGCCTTCAGCCCTTCGTGCTTCTGCCGCAGACAAGAAAACCCACTCGCCCTATGAGCTTTGAAGCTGATGGCCACATTCAGCCCCATCGCGGCACCAACTTGCTCTTTGATGAGCTTTTGGGGGATACGTAGTGCCACAACGCCAGCAGGATGTGATAATACACACTTCCTCTGCTTCACAGCACAGCAGCTGCCAATCCGCAGCGCCTCTATTGGCTCTGAAAGGCGCCCTCCGGCTGTTTGTCCGCGATCTCGAACAGCCACGGTTCACGACGGGGCAGATAGCGACGCCGCTTTTTAGCAGGGGGTAGATCGTGGCGTAGAGGACTAGTTGGTAGGGTGCTCATATGAACGTTGCTTATCGAGCTGAGTTGTGGGAGTTGCGCCGGACCGGGTCACCTTGTGGTTTTACGAAGGCGCCTCAGTATCAGCTCCCGAAGACGATGCATAGAGGCAGTTCATAGCATGAGCACCGCTCCAGAAGCAGCTTCAATGTCCCCGACACCTCTAATCTCTTTATTTTGCTTTGTGATAGACACTCATGAATCCCTAGGTGACCTTGGAAGGCTACTATCGCTGAGTTGTCGTTGTCTCGCTTGTCTTCTCGCAACAACCATCAGCAGGCAAATCAAAACACAATCGAAAGCATTCAAACCCCTCCTCATCACTATGGCAGACTCCCACACGAGCAAGCACTCTTCCCAATGCCTCGCAGGCCGTGAGCATATACCCGCCTATCCCCGCGGCTTCATCGCCCTGCGCATTGTCCAGCTTGCCTCGGCCTCATCGCCCTCGGCCTCTGCGCCTTCGGTGCCTACCTCTGGCCGATTTCGGGTAACTGCCTCATGCTCTTCGTCGCCGTCGCCACCCTCATCGTCACCATCTGGCTCGTCGTCGCCGAGTACTCTCTACTCCGTATCTACAACTACTGGGCCGTCCTCGCCCTCGACATCTTCCTAGTTGTCTTCTGGCTCTGCGCATTCGCCCTCCTCGCCTCCCAGGCCGCCTTTGTCTTGAGCGACACCGCCTACTGCGATGTCTACGACTGTTACTCGTCCGAACCAACGGGGCTGTACTTTGTATTTGCCGCCTGTATGGCGGCCGCGTCTGCGATCGGCGGGTTGCAGTTGTGAGTTTCTCCTTGCATTTCGTCCTCTTCTTCTCCCCTCTTCATCTCCCCTCTTCATCTCCCCTCTTCCTTTTTTTTTCTAATTCCTCGTCGTGCTCCTGATGTGATGGGCTTTTGCTGAAGCCTAGGAAATAGCGCCCTATTTGTTACCTCACTTGCTATCCACAGTACAGTGCTGCATCGTCACCGCAAAGCCGGCCTGCACTGCACCCCGCAGAACTTGCCCGGCACTCGCAACACCACCGCCGACGGAAAGAACACCATCCAGGCCGCTTACCAGCCTGTCCACACAGCCACCGCGCGCAGCGCTCCGCCATACGCGCAGCAAGACGGAACGCACAGCAGCACTCAACAGCACCAGCAAAACCAGCCTCAGGCGCATCATGGTCAGATCTACTCCCCTCAGCATGTGTCAACACTGCCGAGCACACAGCATGACGGGGCCTTGCATGTTCATATGAACCCTCGAGAGCGGCATTCCCCTATGCCCCTGAATGCGCACGAGGTGGCCGTGCCGCAGCAGTATTGCTGTCCAGGCGCACATACAGGTGCAATGGCATAATCGCAAGACCGGAGCGATTTCGGTCGAGGTGAGAGGTGGAAATTGAGAGACGAGGAATGGGAAGTGAGTCTTTGACGAAGGAAAAGATCTCGAATGTCGGGAGAGAGATCAAATTCTAGGGTTTATACAGGTTGTGCGTACAGTATCGGGTTCAAAGATCGAGGACCTGCCTCTTCTTTTTGCAGTCCATTATTCATGGACCCTGCCAGTCTTGCTCGAGCATATGTAGATACTCGCCAGCCACTCTCCATCTTTGATTGATGCTGGCGAGACCCTCTTTCGCGATTGTTGAAGCGTCCACCACCACGCTATGCTCTTCTTGAGCCAGCCATGAGAAGTTGTTTCCAGCGGAGTACAGCGCGTCAAGTATCAAGGGACTCACACGACGAAGAATTGAGCCGCTGCTGTCGAGCAAAGCGTGGTCAGTGTCGAGTCCCAGCTCCAGACCGACTGTTGAAACCGGAGCCGGGGATGGATGTAAAAGTTGGGAGAATATATCTCGACTCAGTAGACTGATGACCTGACGACTAGTTGTCCGCAGGCCTCGGAGTGCTCTGTCCGTAGATTTGCCTCCTGTGTTGAGGAGGGGAGGTAATGGGGGTGGCCAACTGTACGTCTCCTGTAGCAACAACGTTGCAGATAGGAGTACGGCTTGCGGGGCCAAGTAAGGATTCCCAGCTTGTCGAAGCCCAAGAAAAGGGTCAGTGTGATATGTAGGCAGCGAGTAGCCTTGCCGGCTAGCATTTTGCTTCCCCATCCCACCACCCGACGATGCATGCAAAGAGGGGTGTCCAAATAAGGACATAGCGGCACCTAGCTAAAGAGCGGCTGATCTGTGTTTTCCCTGAGATGTTGGCCATCAATCGAACGTGCGCTAGAACGCGAGATGCGAGCGTTGCAGCTTCGCAAAGCCGTGAGAAGGGGCTGGGATCTCCTGTAAACAGGGATGCGACTGTGCGTTGCGTGACTAACGAAGGACTGTCGTCGTCCTGCACATAAAATCAGTACGCTTTGAACGAACCGACTTGCAGACAATGTTGCGTTCCATACCCATATTCGATCATTTGCTGGCAAGATTTCGTGTTCGGGCGGATCAGGAAGGATACACTTCTTCTGGTTTCCGAGGCAGACGATTCGGTCAAGAACCACAATCGCCCACCAGGTCCGTCTACGCTCTTCGAGCTCGACCCATGTTGTCTACGCACCAAGTTAGACCCCATGTCATGGGGGGATCAAGCGTCGATTGAGCGGGGGAACGCACGGCGCTGTTGAGGAGTATCGAGCTCTCATGAATGTCGGGCAACCCTAGAAAGTCGGCATACCGAGCGCAGCCCCCTATTGTTGTCCATGCCGCAGGATAGATGCCATGACTGTACTCATAGATAGCTATGAGGACCATTGATTGTAGAACCATGATTGAGGGGATACCGCCGTGTTGAAGTGACAGAACAAACCGCTTTGCCGTCAGATAGATGTAGTGGTCGGCAGCGGCGACGGAGGGTATTGGAACTGTGGTCACGAGCTTCACGGCTAGGAATAGCATCGCTAGGTCCGAACCCCCTTCCAGAAGAGAGTGGCCGTTCTGCATACGACTTTTCGAGATGATAGGCAGCCAGAGATGTATTGTAACAAAATATTCGTTGATGGCTTGCTGAATCTCAGCGGGCTCGCCTAGCTGCGCGAGAACTTCCTGTCCAGGGATCAGCATATCGACGGATTCACTCAGCCGGACTATGCTGGCCATACTCCTGATGTGCTAGCATACCTCGGGTATCTCGACTACGGGCTTTGGCACGACTCTTCTCATCCGCTTCCAAGTGGACAAGTCGAGGAAGAGACTCGCTGGAAACTGGACTGAAACGGGTGGTTGCCACGAAAAATCGG